ACATGAAAGGATAAAAAGTAGAGAATATCGAAGGAAGAAAAATTGGGGAAAAAACATAAAAGGAGAGAGAGAGAGAGAGAGAGAGAGAGAGAGAGAGAGAGAGAGAAAGAGAGAACAAGGATGGAAAATAACTGATTCCTTATTCAATTCATATATAAAGAGATACTTATTTAAAACTAATTTGTATATAATTAGTAAATTATATATGACCATGTAATTAAGTTAAAACTTAATTAGGGAGGGTAATAAAATTTCATATGCAGTGTAAGAAGGAATAAATCCCTTTAATAAATAGTCTGAATGCATTGCGCTAGCCCATTTGATTGGGCTATAAATGATGAGCCAACTTTATTTAGCCTAGGAAGTCATATTATCTTAGAGGTCCAATTTGTTGCCACATGTCAAATGACGTAGCATGCCAAGTCAAACGGAAGAACCAATAAGATCATGCCACGTGTCGAAATGACATAGCATGCCAAGTCAAATTAAAAGGCCAATGAAATCGCGCCACATGTGCAAGTGACATATTCTGGCCATGTCACACTTCAATTTGATTGGTCGGAAAGAGTTGTTCTTATCATAACTCCTCTCTCCCACAACTATAAATAGCGGTCTTCATAACCCAGAAAAGATACCAGAAGTTATAACAAGAATCAAGAGAGAGCTCGTGGATCAAACACTGCAGATTTCTCTAAAAGCTACAAGCGTTCAAGTATTCTAAGGATTTAAAGATCAAGGCGAAGATTCAAAAATAAGTTGCAAGCCCTTGGATTAAAAAAAATACGTCAAGATCAAGATCAGACCTCAAGCACTTCGATTAAAATAAAATAAAATTCAAGATTAAGCTCGAAGGCTCTTTTATTTACTATTGAAAAGATGAATCAGAGGATTCATAGAGATTGTAACATTCATATTATTTGAAATAAAATACTATAAATTGTTACAATATTTTTCTATCTCGATTATTTTCTTGTTTATTGTCTATCGTACTAATTGGTCTTACACTTGTCTAAGGTACATGCCACTTTGCCATTGTACATTATTTAAGGGGTAGAGGTAGCCTATTAGATGCAGGTTCGGTCCGATCCAAGTTTTGTTTAAATACAATATTAGTATTAGTAAATTCATTAAATATATGTAAAAATTTAATTGCAAACCCACTAACTACGACGAACTATGAGTTCCGTGACAAATTCAGAATACATAAGTTTTAAATTCTGACTCTGCTACTATCAAGGGGTGATATCTATATGACACTTGTTAACCCTTAAATAGCCATTTGTCCATTTGCATGGACATACATATATCATAATTTATAACATCTAACATATTAAAAGACTAATAGACTCATGCAAAAAAAGCCCTCACAAAATTATACTTGGCTTTGCCTCGTTATACTGTTACCAATCATGAAAATATTATATAAGAAAAATACTTAATTTGGAAAGGAAAATTTCAACTTATATTTTAATTGCTTCTTATTAAAGAGACAATGGAAAATGGCCTAAAATGCCCTGAAATAGGATAGGCTAGTCCTCGGTTAGCGCTATTCTGCCCTTGCAGTTAACAAATAGGCTTTCTTCCATCACTAACGAAAATCCACGTGGAATAATATTTTATATTTTAAAATCATGCCCTAATTAAAAAAAGCCATTTGGATTTAAAAAAATAACCCCGCCCCTCTTTTTTGCCATACCGCACCCCTGCCCCACCCCAAACAAGAGCTCTATCTCTCTCTTTCTCTCTCAGAGGTGCCTGCCAGCCCTCCTTCTAGCCGGCCAGCCACCGGATTTGACCACCGACGGGTCTGGTCGGCCAATCATGGCTACTCCCCTATCTTTCCATTCTCAGTCGTTCTTGTGGATGAAAACACTGCCGATCGACAGTGAATCGGCGACCTCAGATTTGGCCGGAAACATCTCTCCGGCATGCTTTAGCTTTCTTTAACATCTTTTGTATTTTATCTACTTCTGCTTGCTAGATCTAATGGAAGATAAACAAGAAAAAGGTTGTCGTATTTTTGCCGGAATCTTGCTGGATAAATTATTGGCGGCCGTTTGCCTTGCTTCTTTAGCAATGCTATTCCGGCGCTCATCGTCGTTAGAGTAGCGTCTCAGGCTAACCATTTCCAGACCTTCTCCCGTCTCTTGTTGCCATCACTGTTTTGGCTTCACTGTTCATTATTGCTTTGCTTTATGACCCATTTTGGTTTATAGTTTTGTGTGGGTTTCACGACCTTTTTCAAATCTTGTTCCTCAGTTGAAATCCAGGTGCTTTGAATGGCCGACGTACTTTGCTTTCTTTCTTTCTTTCTTAATGTTGTTATCCAGCAAGATTGGGGGTGGGGCAGGGATGCGGTATGGAAAAAGTGAGGGGTGGGGTATTTTTTGAATGCACGTGGCTTTTTTAATTAGGGGATATATGATTTTAGATATTTAATATATAAAATATTATTCCATGTGAATTTATGAGTGTTCCGTTAGGGAGGATATATACAAGCCCATTTATTAACGGCAAAGGCAGAATAGAGGCAAATTTTTAACGGAGGGCTAATATATCTTATTTCACATAGTAAAGGAGTATTTTAAGCCCTTTTTCATAGAAACAAAGGTAAATAACTGAACCGAATCTTAGGATAATCACATTTCATGTCATGAAATTTATTTACTGCATGACCACTCTTACTAACTGCATAAGCAATCCTTTACAACATACACAAATTAAAATTTTCCTTAATTTAATTCTTTCAATATGCGTATGTTCGTACGTACAGAAGTATGAACCAACAACTTATATGCAATTTCTTTGACTTCAACCAGTCGTAGTTTAGGAGAGATGGAGAAATTCGCATCGAGTCAAAAATGCAAAATAAGAGCGGCAAGAAATTAAAGAAAAAAGCATTTGATGACAAACTAGACTTTCTATGTTAAGTATGACTTTAATTCCTTTTTTAGTTTTTTTTTTATATTAGAAATAGGACTCCTAATAGCCTTAGTTTAACTAAACCGGGTATAAATATCCGATACTTTATATATTACAAAGTAATATATTATACTCTAATTTTATTTTTATTTTTTCTCTCTCCTTCATCCGCAATTTTTCTCCCCATTAAAATGACCAAATTTCCAATTATATTTTGCAAAATTCACTGCTAAACCTTCGTCTTCTTCAACTCCTAATATTGCTCTACTCAAATCCGTAATTTTACATGAAATTATGTTGAACTCAAGCAAACATTCACTTTGTCTTCTAGAGTTCTCAGATTATCTCCAATGGCTTTAACTCGATCTTCTATTCTGCCCATAAATTCTATGATAGCCATGATTTTTAAGATCAGTAAATTTATTGTCCGTTCAAAATAAATAACAATTTCGTCATTGGCAACCATTAAAAAGGTTCGAAACTTTGAATTCGAACATCGGGTTTAGTAAAATTGCATTTATTTGGATTGAGTGTTGTTGCAAAATGATTGAGAATATATTTTGGAGTTTATATCCCAATTTTTAGAGAATTTAATAAAAATCCGAGTTGGTCTTGATTGAAATGTTAGATTGAAACTTGAAAAAAGAAAACAAAAACATAAATAAATTATATATATTTAAGTGCGCTTATATATTTGGCCAAAACAAAACAAAAATAACCTCATTCAACCTTTTTACTAAGTAGTACAATTTCCCCTCCTCTAGGCCCTAACCAATCTCATTTCTATATATGAAAGTTGAAGCTGGAATTCTGTCTGCTACATCTTAAAGCAACAAATATTGAGATTGTTAGAACAAAAACCTTTGTTGCAACCTGCATACACTTTAATTATATATATTACTTTCATATAGTAATTGTGCTTAAATTTATTTGCTGCTACCACCATCTTAGGACACCTAACTTATCTTTCTCTATATATAGGACTAGATGTTTCATGCAAAAGAGAGCAATCTTTTCCAAACTTAAAAAAAAATTATATAGGAGTATATAAATACTGAATATGCTTTAATAAGTACTTGTATATAGAAAGGGACTTGTGTATAACATTAATAAATATATATATATATATATATATATATATATATAAAACTTGAAAATAATTTAATTTAAATAACTTGGCGCCCCGAACACTAAAGGTCTTTAGAGGGCACTGGTTGAGCAGAATATTGATGCCTCTGTTGCGTTAAAATCCTGAGTTTGCCTCTGCTTGTATAGTATGAATACCGTTTTGGTTTGGCAAATTGAAGTTACAATTAGTAATACATTTTTACACTTAAAAATTCCAAATAAGATAAACAATTAGATAACAATATTTGACTGATAATTATTCAAGTTATTGCTTTTGTTGACAATCAACTAGTATCTTTTAACCGGCTATCTTTTCCTCTATCTGAAATCCATTTCTCTGCAACTCTGATATTGATACTTCATTTATGATTTTAACCCTTCTCTATATTTTTGCATAAATTTCGTAACCTTTTTAGAGAAGTGCACCCTCCCATTTAATGATATTCAACAAAAATCTCCAATTATTTCATGAATTTTAAGTTTTATCCGTTGACCCATTCTCTTTTTTTTTTTTTTTTACCTACTACTTTCCTATCCCATAATCTGACCCAATTGTCCAATTTTGTCCAAACTTTAATTCTTTTTCTCCTTATTCGGATAGTAAATCAAATTCTGGTCAACACACTTCAAATTTTTACAATCTTTCAATATATCTCCTAGTTTGCTACAGACCTTTATTACTCTTAGATTTTATGTCCAAAATACATTTATATAAGGGCTAGTCAAAGTTAATCAAGAAAATGTCATTCAACATAGCTATAACATTTTTATTGTTATATTTCACAAGAAAATTTTCACCCTTCTTTTCTTTTTTATCTTTTCTTGAGATGGTATAGAAAACAAGTTGACAATTGACAAGTACTAATTTGTTTTGTAGCTGTCTTTTTGAAAGTTGATTGAACGTGTCTGTTTTTTTTCAAATGGAACAGAAACATAAATAGTAGGAATTATTACAATTCCATTGAAACAAACCACAGACACAGTTTCATTTTTAGCCCAAATAATGGAACAAAATGACACTACTACTATAGAGATGTCAGCCATGGAAATTCACAAAGTTGCTCCTCCCCCACATAAAACCACTTTGCAAAAACTGAAAACTAGGCTTAAAGAAACTTTTTTCCCTGATGATCCTTTGAGACAATTCAAAGGACAGCCATTGAAAAAGAAACTAATTCTTGGAGCTCAGTATGTTTTTCCCATATTAGAATGGGGTCCTAATTACAGTTTGAAATTGCTCAAATCTGATATTGTTTCTGGTCTCACCATTGCCAGTTTAGCCATTCCTCAGGTAGATATTTTTCTTTAATAAATATCCTTTTCTATATAATTAAGTTTCTAAGTTTGTAAGATTATTTGTTATACATGGCAAATTTGTTAATCTTTTCATTTCTTTTCTTTTATTTGTTATTGTGCAGGGGATTAGCTATGCAAAGCTAGCTAATTTACCTCCCATTGTTGGTCTATGTAAATACTTCTTTTTCTTTTGTATTCCCTCCTTCTCAATTTATATTGTACCGTTTGACTTGATACGAATTCTTTTTCTTAAATTTTAAAACTTATGGTCTAACAAACCTTAAATATTTCAGTCCTAAATTTTAAAGCTAAATCATTTCTAAATTTAAAAAAGTGACATTCTTTTTAAAATGTGCTAAAAAAAAAAATATGTCACAGAAATTGGGACAGAAGGAGTTATAAAAAAAGATGAGTAATTTCACTTTTATTTTTTATTTTTACTTTTTTTTTTTGCCATGCAGATTCAAGTTTTGTTCCACCCCTAGTGTATGCTGTACTTGGAAGTTCAAGGGATCTAGCAGTAGGTCCAGTTTCAATTGCATCACTTGTTCTTGGATCAATGCTAAGAGAAGTGGTTTCCCCTACAAAAGATCCAATCTTGTTTCTTCAACTTGCCTTCTCTTCTACTTTCTTTGCTGGCCTTTTCCAAGCTTCTTTAGGCTTTTTAAGGTAATCTCACTCTCTTTCCTATTCTATTTTATACCTTCCCCTTGCGCACTCAGCCTAAAAAAGGTGAAAATATAATTACTTTGGGTGTGTTTTGCGCGAACGAATATTTTTGTGGTTTAAATATTTTTCTCGTGAACTTTCCCCAGCCAAAAAGAGAAAAAAAAAAATTCCAAAACTCTTTTTCAACCT